GAACTAAACTGTCGAACTGTCATTAGCTGTCAATTTCAAAGATCCAAGCGTGATATCATTTGATTTATATTTAAATTTTTCAAATTTTGTGCCGTTTTATATTTTCCTGTGTCTTCAAACACAGCGCCATCTACTACCTTCTTATAATGAATGCAGTATAGAGGGGATCTTCATTTTAGATTTGATGCCAAGTTATATCATGTTCGGTTTGCGTTTTATGCGTATCTTTTGAAAGTAACTTTTTTAGTGGCGTCGTAAAAATGAATGACTTACATTACAAGCAACGTGTTGTGATTCAATTTTTAGTGAAATCTGGCGAAAAACCCTCGGAGATCTTCCAAAAATTGCAGGTTGTGTATGGAATCAAAAACGTGTTTAATTGGGTGAAGCGGTTTAAAAAAAGGCGTGAACGGTAGTCACCTCTCGTACTGACGCGAAAGTCGAACGTTTTGCACACGCTGAACACGTCTGACGTGCGATCAACAAAAAAAAGTCTGCAAGCTGTTACGCAGAATTGGAACATGCGCACAATTCGCGCAAGCACCGATCTTGCACCAGTCCATTGCGCGAGAGTTTCTGGCGCAAAAAGGTATTCCAACGTTGCCGCACCCACCCTATAGCCCCGATATTACACCCTGAGAATTTTTTTATTCCCACAGATGAAATCACACCTCAAGAGAACTCATCATGGCGGCGAATCATTGTGTAGAGTTGGAAAGAGAACCTGAACTGAGGAAAGAATTTTTCATTTGTGACAGCGATAGGAATTTCCTTAGATCAGTTTTGAGCATTCTGCCAGCTACTCCGAATTAGGTTTTCCTAATTCCTCAGGTAAAGAGAAGTATAGAACAACTTAAGACNGCACCCACCCTATAGCCCCGATATTACACCCTGAGAATTTTTTTATTGTAGAGTTGGAAAGAGAACCTGAACTGAGGTAAGAATTTTTCATTTGACAGCGTTAGGAATTTCCTTAGATCAGTTTTGAGCATACTGCCAGCTACTCCGAATTAGGTTTTCCTAATTCCCAAGGCAAATACCAGAGTAGTATAGAAGAACTTAAGACCTTCTGCAGGGGCACCCCTAATAAACATTTTGTGGGGCACTCTATTGTTAAGGGCTCAGAACAAGAGAGGGACTATGGATCTTGAACTTGAAATTGCTATGACATTGGATTTTAGGTCCTAGGTTCAAAATCTTTAGTATAGAATTTCAAACTCTGACCATAGAGCCTTGGACCATAAACCCCAAACTTTGAAACCAGATTCTTAACTTTGGATCTTGGTTGTTAGATCGTGGACCTTGACTTTGAAATCGAAAATCTTGTAAGTAACTTCAAATCATGAAACTTTCGACCTTTAAAACTCTGACTCTTAGCCCTGAACTTGTATCTTGAGCTGTAAAGCATTGAATTTTCAATTGTTTGTACTGGGAACCGGTTGAATTGTCAATCTTGCACCTTACGTTAAATTTTGAATCTTTTATCTTGAGACTTTAAATCTTAAAACCTTTTAACTTTTTTATTGCCAATCCTAATGCTGTGCAGGTTAAATAAACTACCCTGTATGTGGGCAAAGCGAAAAACTAAAGAAAAAAAACAAAACGGTAGGGGTAGCATGTAATAAATCAAAAATCAATAATTACACAAATTGATCACTAAATCTCTTTAAGTTAGTGCACACCATATCTCCATTCCTAGACATTTACAAAACATTTCCAAACCTTACTGACATTTAAGAAATCTATTATATTAAACAATTTTAAAAAATCAATATTGATTCAAAAAAATATTTTTCAAAAATTCAAAAAACTGCAACACTGCGGGAGTGCACAATAAAGGACTGCCGGCTGCTGTTGTGGGTCCCAAGTTGATTCAAATGATCTCACTTACCTCACTGAAAGTCTCAGTTGACAAGGACGCCACGCAGTTAAGGCCTTAAGTAAGAGTAAAATAAAACCTAAAGTAACTGGGAACTAGACCACATTGTAATTTTCTCCAAATATGAAGATACCTATGTATTTTGCGGGTCATGACATTTCGGTCCGCCGTTTTGGGTCCACCATTTTGGTGCCCGCCGTTTTCGGTCCCGGCCGTTTCAGTCCCGGTCATTTCGGTCCTACAATCTATTTTTCTCTATCACCAGTACATTGTTTAATAAATAAAAACTTTTTCTTTAATGCGAAATTGTATTCAATGTAATTAATAATGACTTTAATCACACTGCCACAACACAATGAGACAGATGTTATAATTATTCCAAATTTTTAATAATAATCGTTACCCAATAAACAGCAGAGAACATATGAAAAAATGTGGGACGCTATTAAGAATTTTTGGCCAAACTTTTTGCCAGATTCTATTTCCACAGATTTCGAACTGGCAGCAATAAATGCTATGCGGTCTGCGTTTACAAATTCAAATTTTTTTGGATGTCTTTTTCATTTCATTCGAGGAACTCAGCGAGTCAACACCAGTAGAACTTGAACCAATATTACACTGGCTCGCCTACATTGGGCGCCCTAATCGAAGGGGAAATCGAAGAGAGCCAACCTTTCCACCAGAATTATGGACTGTTTTTGAAAGAACATTAAATGGCGATGCAAGGACAAATAATATTGTGGAAGCTGCGCACAGAGCACTACAGGCCGAGATGGGAATGGATCACCCAACGCTTTGGAAATTTATTGACTCTCTTAAAAAAGTTCAATCGGGAAGAGACCAAACATTTGAGGAGTATATCCGTGGTGACGGGCCAATTCCAAAAAGAAGAAAATATATACAAGCTGACAATAGAATACTAAATATTCTGCAAGAAATAATAGAACACACAACGAACTCCTTCAAGGAATTGCTCACAATTTTTTGATGAACTAGTGTAATGTGTCATATAACGGTTTATTTTTTCATGGAAAGTCTTATCCAAATATCAAACTATTACGTCAACGGCAAGGCAACAATTGCAGAATTGATACCTTTCTATAACTAGCATTTGTTAAAAAAAAGAAGTTTTATCAGAACACCCTGTATAATTATGTAACCTATAAAATATCTCGACTGTAAACGGTATCGTTTAAAAAAGCGCAATGCAGGTTAAGTGCGAATTACATTGTGCACCCATTAAAGCGAAAGAGTCCATAGACCTTTTCTTAATGGGCGTCAAGGGTCATCGCATACAGATTACTTATTTATATCGCATTAGTTACGATACACTCGGCAATTTTTCTGGGCAGCCACGTCCAACTACGAGTACCAACCTGTGTAATTTTGTTTTGATTATCACCACGTCCGGAAGTAGGCAGCCCATAGACGGACACCTGCGGTATCGGGCCGGGTAATAAATTTGTAAGCACCCAGTATTTAGCGACACTGCTTAAAGCGACCGCATTTAACGCCGTCGTGTTTACGCGAAGATCGGTCGGAACAGATGTGGCAGGAGGTGGTCGTTGTGTGCTGACCTAAACAAATGCCTTTTAGAATCCATCGTCTGGGAGATGCATGCAAATTTTGACCAAAGTAAATTTTTGAATACTCGTTTAAGGCGGTGAAGTACAATGGATGTGATAAATGAAAAATTGTAGGCCTAGGCGTTCGTTAGCGGAAAATTTCGGAAAACTTTACCGGAAAGTAGTTTTCGTTTAGATAATTGCGAAAACAATCGCTCAACTTTTTTATACTTACTTCACTATTTTCAGCCTGTGATGGAGCACCATTGAAGTGGCTTTGTTCGTTCGAGCTCATTATAACATTAAACGATTACAATTAATTTAATAAAATTAATTTAAAAAGCGATATCTAAGTCATAATGCACTATTTATTTGGAAAATATCACGTGAAAAATTCTACTGTCATTGTCTAGAAGATGCGGGGGACGCAAAGGGAAGCCATTAGAAACTATCAAAACTAAATTTCGGCTTTTCCAACACGCGAATAACTTCCAGACTTTAAAGTTCCGCCACAAAGTATTTATCGTCTACGGCATTTTAATTAAAACTATCGTATTGTTTACGCGGCGCGTTTTAATTTGATTAAATTCGGTTATTTAGAAGGGAACAGACGCGGGGTGCTCCAAACAATAAACAGAAAACGAGACGGCCGGTAAAGGAGGAATGCGCATTGTCGGTCGAGTTTCAGAAAACTGCAAAGTGCGATTTTTTGAATTTTCAAATTTGAATCCGGGATAATATTACGCATTAGGGGCTACTCTTCAAATTGTTGGTATGCAAATATAACAACAAACGGTCCCAGGATTTTAGGCAGCGTGATGTATTATTTTTGTTTATTTTGTAATATTATTACATAAGAATAAATTAAGTAAACAAACAAGTTCAAAGTCAGTGGCGTAACTGACAGGTCTTGTGGGACTAATCAAACCTATTCCCACACACGTTATCACATAATATATTTAAATTCTATGTTTTTCCACTCTTTCGTCGCACTCTTTATTCGTTCGAGTTGGATATATAATGTTTTCCTACTTCCCCATTGTTCGTTGCTTTTCATTATTTTGTACGTACGTGTATTTGAGCAAAGTTTGGATTCATTTCTACACGTTTTCTTACTTACATTTTTCTCTCTATTCCTTTCCCATCGTTTTTCTCGATCTCGATAATTTAATTACTTTTTGCGCGATCGGTCATTTCTGACTATTTACCATGGGTGTTTCCATGACAGTACGTAGTATTTACCAGTTGCTATGATTACGACGACGCCAAAATTACTTACCGATCTAAAAACAGAACAGCAAAAATACTTACCGACGCCTTTTTAAAAATCAACAGTCTTACATTACATTTAATCTTTAATTATTGTTAGGTACATTAAACGTACAATTTGTGCTGTTTTTCCTATAGCAAGACGCTCATAAAGTCATAAAGGAAGTGCAAAGCTAGTAAAACTACATCAGACACATGCACATTTTTATGAAATTATTAATTTCAATTTTGACAAATAAACTGGTTACCTAGTGATGTACACCATACCACTTCGATCATTTCGATTTATTCTGCTCATTAATTTCTTAGTGCATATTTATATTGGTTGCATAATTTTAATTTCGATCGCGCAAAAAATGTTATAAGCACGTCGAACGTTAAGGGTTACCGTTCTCAGACAATAATTGGAGTCGTCGCTTCGCTCCTCCTCCAAACAATTGTCTTCGAACGGTAAAAATCCCTTACCGTTCTCCATACTTAATATACTATATGTTTAATTTTTTCTTGATTTTATATTTTATCCCATTATCGTCGTGTTAACTGTTCAGTGTTCAGTGCATAATGAAATGTATGTGCTGCCTGGGAAGCAATTTTAGTACGCGAACAACAAAATCCTGTATCCAATAATCTGTAACTTCGGGATACTGGCATAATGCGAAACGCGCGAAGGAGCCAAGAGAACAGCAGATAGTAGTACCAAAGATGAAGTATAGGGGGCCACCATTAAACATTTTTTTAGTTTTTTTGTGGCTCAGGAGTTAATGTCGGCTGTCCCGCTAGAAATACTTCAAATTTAATTTATCATGATTTTATTAGGGGGCTTTGCCTTTTACATATTATTTTTAAAAACGCGAGACTCTCAACTTTATCTCAAGGTATCCCATACCGCGTGCCCCCCCTTGAAACAGTATAGTAAATAAAATGGAATTATACTCAATATACCTACTTTTATTTCAAATCATAATCTTAAAATTCAGGCTAAAGTTGTGATAATTTCAGGGGTCCGGTACTGCAATCTTGACTTAACCATTGAATAAAAAATTAGGCTTTATTCAATGACTTATAATAACCTATACTTAGCTGGCAGCTCGGGGAAAAAATTACAAGCAGAGCCATCTAACGTCGAAATGACAGACATTTTCCGCCACTTTCGACTCTTGGTAACAGTCGGCTTGGACTTGGTGGTATGAATAGGGCTCCTACGTTTTGTTATGCTATGGCCGTTCTTTGTCTTTGTGTTGGTACGTGAGGCATAGGAAAAGAATTAAATAAAACCCCAAATTCTATGCAAAAGAAAACACAAGAAAAAGTAAGAAAAACAACACCATTGGACAAACAAAACATGGCTACACACAAATACAAGAAATAAATCAACTACACGATAATAAAATGCAAAAGAGAAATATACAAATCAAATATCTCAAATTGTACAATAAAGATCAGGTATTGAGTCAAATGCGCTAAATCGAACGAAACACAAGAGACATCATAAATGCAAGTGGAAAACATGATAATCAATTCAGTACAAAAAACACCACAAATCTATTATCAATTTAAGCAAAACAACATGTACAAAAAATTGCTGTGGCTAGCACAGATACCAGATCAATCGCCGTTTTTTACTTTTCCTTTAGGTAAACTTTCGTTTTACTTGATTAACAGTTTGTAAAAGAGTTGTTTTGAACATATACTTACAACATTTGAAACGGTAAAAAAGTAAAAAGAAATTAAATTCGGCTCAAAGGACCAAGATCTTTGTACGCTTTTTGCAAGTAACTCTTATCATATAGATGGTAAAAACCCTTCGCATTTTAAGACTACGCGAGCGGGGGTTTATTTTGAAGAAAAGTTGCCGTCAATGTGGTAAGTATTTTAGGTTTATATACCTATACAATATTTTCGGTTTTGGATACTGCGCATTACCTGGTCTTTTTCTTGACATATTTAGACTTTGTCTTAATTTCACCTCTTCCATTACCATTTCCATCATACTGTATTGTACTGTATACCAATAAGATCCAAAATTTTCTACTCTTTTGTTTTGATTTTAATAAGACTATTATACGCCCAGCTTCGGCGATTGTGTGGATACGTGATGGCTTCACGTCCTCCCCCTGCCGCGTCGGGTGGTCGCACTGTACCGAAAAAAATTTGAGAAGTGGACACACCCTTAACGGCAACGGAATCACCAAGTATCAACCCACCGCGAGGGTAAAAACTTCCACTACGACAGAGAGACCATTTGGTTGCCAGTTCGATGGTCCACCCGATTGAGCATCCCGCGCAAAAATTTTTTTAAAAATAAATTTTCCACCCCCTGGTTCACTAGGAGTCATCAATGTTTTTAAAAAAATCCTGGCGACTTGTCCCTTGCAAATGTATAAAAGCGCATTTTTACTCAAAAAATTCACACGCGATCCGAGGAACAGTCTACAATTGGTACGAGTGACGGCGTACCCCTCACATCCAAATGGAATTGAGAAAATAATTTTTTCAAGGTGTCCAGGACGTTAATTTCCTATATTTTTGTACCAAATTGATGGAAAACCAAAGAATTAAATAGCTTAGAGAAAGCTGACCAATCCCATTGCGTTAAAATCTTTTTCTATAAAAAGCAACCAAAATTGACTCGAACCCTAGCCCAAAGTAATGAAACTCAACAAGCTGGCGGTACGCATCATTTATAGAAGGTTCAAATGCAGTAGGTCACGGGAATAGGGACCATTTATGAGGTAATGATGGACTTTTGCTTAGCTACACGATATTTTAATAATGATGCAAAATGTTCACCCGAAAATCACTGAGTTTAGTGTTACCTTTATTTGTATTTTCCTAACCTACAAATCGTTTTGGATAAAAACATAAATACTATCACATAATAAAAGGACGGATTGGTTCCACAATCAACTTAACCTAATTAACTTCCTCTTCAATTTCCCCCTCGCCCTGATCTTGACTTACTGAGCTCCTCAACTTGCTACTCGAAGGTATTAAGATACCAACGGTCGTGCCCAACCCGGCCGCTAAGGCCTCTATTAATTCCTTATTTACATAGTAAGTGATGGGCACATTTCCTGAACTGGATAGCACTTGACGCAATTCCGTTAGAACCTGCTTGGCCTCGAGAAACTCCTGATTTTTTACGTAGTGATGTATCATTAAAGCGTACACGTCGCCGCGCCTAACCGACTCTTCCAAGTCGGGCCCGCCCGCTACCAAAAACTGCCGCGACTGCGTGATGGCGTTATCGATATCGCCTCTCTCGAACAAGCGGCGTATGTCGATGAACCTCTTGATCGCGACCATGCGTTTCTTAACGACTTCGGATGCCTTCTCGTGTTGGACCGATGCATTCGGGATTTTCGTCAGACACCGCGAAGCCTCGGTAAGCGCTCCGTACGCCTTCTCGTAGTTTTGAAATTCATCGATTTCGATCTGAAACGAGAACATTTGCGACGGCACTCCACAGTAAATGTCACAAACCTGTGCGCATGCGACGTAGAAATTAGCCAGTAGATCTTGAGCCTTACCCTTGGAGTAGAACGTGATGATATTACGCAAGACTTCCGGTTTGTTTTGCCAATCGAGAGATTGCAAATAATTAGCCGCCATGATGTAGATTTCTCGCTGCCTCGACACGCCCGCGAAGAAGATTATTTTATCGGTGTCGCCCGACTTGAGTAGCGCCTTCATTGCTCGTACCTAGACACTTTGTAAGAGATCCCATTACACGGATGAGGACTTACCCGATCTCCTGCTTGGGTAAATTTTTTCGTTGCCAACTGATAGTGGCCCTGAATCATGAGACTTTCGGCCAGACTTTCTAATATTTTGTTTTTGGTAGTCTCGTCGACTGCCTCCTTTTCAGGTGTAAGTTTCTCCACCAAATCTTCGGTCAGTTGCACGTTGTGACTTAGGCATATGTTAATGGCGTCTATATACTGAGGAATAATGGTTTAAATGTGATCGAGAGTAGGGGACCATCTTACGTGTTTCCCCACGGCTAACAAATCAACGGCTTTGTCGTACTGTTCGTTGGCGACAAAGAAGTCGGCGCACTTTTTAATTAGGGCCGGGTCGGAGTTCCAGTCTAAACTCACGGCGACCTGTTGCAGCACGTCAAATTGTTCGAATTTAAAAGCAAGGTCCAAGGCCTTGTGAAACATCCCTGTGAACATCCATTGCCGATTTTACCCCCTTCCGATTTACTACCTACTCACCCGCTCTGTGATAGCACATAATGGCCTTCTCGGCGTCTCCGACTTCCTCAAAGTACCTGGCGCATTCCAATTTCTCTTGCCGACCGGCGACCAGTGCAATGCTCCAGAGCTCCTCGCCCATATTATTCTCTTTACACAGTCTCACCGCGTTACTATACGCGTTAGCCTTCTTAAAAAACTCGACAGACTGCTTAATGTTGTTCAGTGTTTCGTAGTGGCGGGCCATGTGGTAAAAGGCGGCTTTATCCGTGTTCGCGCGCGTCAGTTCGGTGGCACGACCTTCTTCCTCCATAAAGCAGAGCGTACGAACTTGATTGTAGATGTCGCCCGCTTTGGCGTACGTTCTCAGTGCGCCGTTTAGATCGCCCTGCGATTCTATGTACTGACCCCACCATTTCAGAAGTTCTCTGAAACACGAATTCTGTACATCACCCAATCGTTTTGGAGTATCGTGGTGTGCGTACGCGATCGCTATTTTAAAATCTTCAACATGAGTTTTATTACTGACAAACTTAAAAGTTCTTCATTGGGAGCACTCGGCCCTGTTTCCTATTACGTTTTTTTTCCAAAGGAAGCAGGTTTATGTACTGTGTTTTAAACAAATTTTTTAGAATTTATATTTTGGTAAATTTACACATGTACCGCTTCATAGCGAACCTGAACGAAAATATGTCTGGCGATAACCAGCAATATCAAGAAACGTATTGCGCGGTTGTCCGATCTCTTCGGACCTAAAAGTTTCGTTCCGTTGTGCGATAAGCCGAGCACGTGAAATGCGAGTTTCCTTTTGGACTCAAGAAGTACGCGAGTCGAGTTGTTTGCGTTTGTTCTAATGAGCGAAGGATTCTCGCTTGAGTTCTCAAGCCAAAACGCACTATTTGAGTGCGTTAAAAATTGAATTCGAAGAGGAAATAAAATATTTAGTAGTAGGAAGTAGGAAAATTAGGTTTCATCACGCAGTAGGTACTTACGGTTCGGTAGTAGTCGACATGTACACTTCGAGCTGATCCGGTTGTTCGACTAACATGCGCGGTATTTCCTGTACATGCGTGTTCGCCCTTTCGTACCTATAGACAGCTTCGCGAAGGTTGCCATTTTGTTCGAGCATTTGCGCGTACATGTGCTCGGTGTTTTTCAGATGTATGCGATCGTTGCTTTCGGCAACCTTCAGCGCCTCGTCCATTCGATTGCGGCTCTGATAGAATTTATTCAGCAGGTCGTAACGTTCGCACTGCATGTACAATTGTTCCGCTTCGTCCTAAACCCAGAGTAAAATACAGGGTGGTTTTTTTACGTCCTTACCAGCATGTTTAGTTGTATTGCAAGAACCGCTATTTTAGCTTCTATCGGTAACGAAGCGTCAGCAACCGCCAATCTCAGCGCTCGGGCCGCTTTAGCGTCGCCCATGTGACCCAAGCACACGGAGGCGACATCCAACCGTCTAGTTTTAACGCACATTCGCGCCAAACTCTGCCAAACTCCAGCCGACTGAATGAGCTTGATCGCCTTGAACGCGGCGTCCATATTTCCCAAGCTGAGATTGTAACTGAAATCCAAGATGGCCTCCTTGGTCGCCTTATTGCACTTCTCCAAACCGTTAAAATCGTTCATGACCACCCTTTCGATGTTGTGTTTGCTAAGAACGACCATAAAAGGGGTCGCCAGTCCGATCAGTTTGGATTCGGCGTCGATGGCCTTGATATCTTGGATGCGAATACCGTGGTCGGTCGAAATGAACATCGTTATTACCACCTGATCTTCGTCTTCTAGTGACCGTTTCACTGCTAAAATGATCCAAAGTTACGTAGAAAAGATGTACACTGAATATAGAGTGTGTTTTTGCTCTTGTTTGTTATCATTCCATCGTACGATAAAGATAGGGTCAAAACAATTTCGCAAAGAACGCGAATCAGCAAGAGTACCTCGTGTGTGTTACTAAGCAAGTGGTTCACCTGAGAAGTCTGATGACAAGAGACCTGAACGCGTGTTAATAGTCTCAAGTTACGCTGTGTTACGTGCGAGCTCAAATGTCGATATGAGTGTTTCGCAAATAAAAAATACCAGTATGAGCTTTTTCATTTGACAAATATATAAGCAATATACACAAAAAGCCCTGGAAGTAGTCAGCTTTGAAGAGATTTTTATATTATATACCGATATTTCGGTTAATGAAAGGGGTCACTATTTCTCACTTCGGCATCGAAGTTGGAACTGATACTAAACACAATTCAATTTGCTTATATTGCACAGATTCCAGACACTCATGGAAAGAATGCATCACATCCGCATTCATTCTTTATTCGATTTTGAGATTGTATTTTGGTAAACATGGGAAAATATACACATGTACCGCTTCATAGCGAACATGAAAGTACGTTTGGAAATAAAAAGCGATAAGGGGTGCATTTTGCGATAAGCATTGAGACCATGTGTGCGGGGATTTTAGACAGCAGATGATTATATTTTGATGTAAGAATTTTGCAAATTGCGATATTTTCGCAGACAATTTCACGAGCGGTTACGTACTATTTTAGATAAATTATCGTTTGAAACGAAATTTATCAAGTACCTACCGATAAAGTGTTACCAGTTATCATTTTGGGTGGAAAAATCCAAACAAGAACGTCGCTGCTATTTTTTAATCGCATCGCTACCCGCAACGTGCAGATTTAATTTTAGGCCAAAATTGGACGTTAGCCTTGTAGCAACGCCGTTTCCTTTACGAGTGATAAAATTTACGCGACAGAACATTTTCGAATTGGACACGCTTCAAATAGAAACGGGATTAAATAAACTGAATTTAAAAACTCGTTGTGATAAACAGTAATTTTTGTTGCAGTTTATCTAAGTTTGAGTGACGCATTTGGACAGCGCCATGTGCAATAAATAACATTTTGTGTACAACCGCACTCGGAAATTTTAAATAATTAATTGATGCATTTACTCTGAAAAAAAGCTTAATTTATTCGGAAAAATTTAATACCAACACATCGGAACATTGGCATTTTATTTCTGGGCGCAAGTAATAAAACCTGGTTTGTTTGCATTCACAATAAGCATGAACATTTTTGTTTGGCGTTCATTCCAACAACTAAGTTACCGGGCAGTGCATGAAGTTAAGAAGATAAAATCAACTGGTTACCAGAAGAAATTATCATCCACATCAATTACTGTTTAACTTTTTTGTGTATAAAAGTAATGGTCGCTTATTTTTAGGAATTTGCATTAAACAATTTGGTTTAATGTAATTTTGATATTCCTAAAGAAACTGACCTATGAGAATTATTTGCAGAAACAAATGGTATTTATTGAAAAGAATCAAATCCAAACAAATGGTGTTGGTTATTTTTTTTTCATTCAAGGGCAATTTTGCTTTTAATTTCTACCATTCCTATGGTTGGATTAAAATTTTGCGTAGAACTGAGAAGGGGTGTATATTTTTTAAACAGAAGAAATTACTAATAATTCATTATGTGGCAAAGACAAAATATTTAGATAAGGATCAAATGATAGCTGAATGTCTTCATTCTTTATCCACCAATAAGTAGACTAACCAGGAATATGTAATAAACAAGCAAATGTTTTTAAGTTTGAAAGGTTCCACCCTGTATATACAACTTACGACGATACATACATTTTTGAGAGTTGGCAACCATGCAATTTCTAGTGGGGAAAAGCTGCCTGCGCCATCTAGAAAGCACGAATGCTCCATAAATGTTTGTTGTTATTTTATGTTATTTAATGCAGGTAGTAATTTTCGCATTTCTTTATATCGTATTTGTGTTTTGTATGCCGAATTTTATTTTTTTTTGTGTGTTTGTATCTTTGTTTTTGAAATTTACTTGGTTTAACCGCAATGCAGAATCACATGTGTGATACCGTTATGTTATTGTTTGTAGGTAATTGTTTACGTTTTTGGTGTAATGCTTGCTTAATTTATGTTCATTGATGTTGATTACTTGGTCTTGTCCCTGAAGTTACATTCATATAAGTTTTGATAATTTTATTTTAATATGTTGAAATTACTGATTCGTTTGATGTATGTACTGACTTGTTGCTTGTTACTAACAATTTTCTCCGTGAATGAAGCAGTCACGGGGGTGGAAAAAAACTGTAGACACAATTGAGTTACAACACCTAATTCCGTAATTGTCTTCAACATCCAACTGTAGGCTCGAATCCCCGAAACCAGGGGCGGGCTGCCCATCTTGCAGGAGCGGGATTACGCTAATCAAAGCTCTGCAGTTTAGAATCTATGTGTGATAAATGAATGGCGATTCAGTAATTTCCACATATCTTGTTTTTGGTTAAATTTGCGTACAAGGCCATGTAATTTTCCATCTTGCTTTTAACAAAAGGACTTTACTGTACCAAAGATGAGTCACATCCTGTACACTTAACCCTTTCTCAGAATTTAGGTACCTGCTACTACCTGACCCATTGTTCCCAAAAACTTGCTTTTAACCTTGAGTGTCACCAACATTGTATATATGCATTTATTATCTTTGTTAAGTACTGCTTAAACTTTTACAAAATATTTTGTTAATTAACTTTTGGATTGTATTAATCAAACTGCGAGGTTTTTCTTACGTCGTACTCTTTTTACCCTTAGCAGTTACTTTTGCGAGAGTACGCCTTTTGGCTTTGCTTGCTTTGTTTAATAATGATCGTAATTATTAAGATTGTGAAAGCCCGGAAATTTAGTTGATGTACATTAATATAAACAAAGCAAGCAAAGCCAAAAGGTGTCGTACTCTCGCAAAAGTAACTGCTAAGGGTAAAAAGAGTACGACGTAAGAAAAACCTCGCAGTTTGATTAATACAATCCAAAAGTTAATTAACAAAATATTTTGTAAAAGTTTAAGCAGTACTTAACAAAGATAATAAATGCATATATACAATGTTGGTGACACTCAAGGTTAAAAGCAAGTTTTTGGGAACAATGGGTCAGGTAGTAGCAGGTACCTAAATTCTGAGAAAGGGTTAAGTGTACAGGATGTGACTCATCTTTGGTACAGTAAAGTCCTTTTGTTAAAAGCAAGATGGAAAATTACATGGCCTTGTACGCAAATTTAACCAAAAACAAGATATGTGGAAATTACTGAATCGCCATTCATTTATCACACATAGATTCTAAACTGCAGAGCTTTGATTAGCGTAATCCCGCTCCTGCAAGATGGGCAGCCCGCCCCTGGTTTCGGGGATTCGAGCCTACAGTTGGATGTTGAAGACAATTACGGAATTAGGTGTTGTAACTCAATTGTGTCTACAGTTTTTTTCCACCCCCGTGACTGCTTCATTCACGGAGAAAATTGTTAGTAACAAGCAACAAGTCAGTACATACATCAAACGAATCAGTAATTTCAACATATTAAAATAAAA